CGTACTTCCCGGACTTTGCTCCAACAGATTACCATTTTTTCCGGAATAGGGACAACATCTTACAAGGAAAAAAATTCAACTCTGATGCGCCAGTCCAAACCGCCCTGAAAGAGTTTATCAATGAACTACCTGTGAGATGACATAAGTGCATGGATAACAACGGTGCATACTTTGATTTATTAAATATATTTTACAAAAAAATAATGAGAGTGTATCTAATACAGGCTTTGAATATTTACAAAGAAAAAATATGTAAAAAAAAAGTCATCAAAAACAGCAAAGAGCGATTTTAAAATGAGTTTCTCTGAAAACGAAAGTACCAATTTTATATTATACGCACACTCAAGATATGAGGCGTGTTGAAATCAAATACGCAATTTTCTCTTTAACGATTCATCATTTTCAAATGTCTGACGAAGCTCAAATTTTGTCACACGATTTATTGTAAAAGACAAATCGTGTATAAACATGTATGCGATAATAAAATATTATCATATGTATAAAATATATATTGAGTACATACGATACTGTATAAAATATGTCATGTAAATAATAAATAAATATTGGTCCTTAAACTTGGAGTATGAAACAATTAATCCTTCGTGCTGCAGCGGTGTGAGTTGACAGATTTCACATGCTTTCGAAATATTTTTTTAAACCACAGAGACTGAACTTTGGTTACTGTTATAACTGTATAAAATGATCCTTTTAAAATTAGAGCTCTTGTTATTAAAGAAATAAGAGAGCCCATGTTATAATATTAAATGTGCTGGTGGGTGTCCAAATGATACCAAGAATTTCGTTTCAATTTTGCAACTATAAAAATGTATTGTGCTTACTGCCTATTTTAAAAAATTTAAATTAAATATGATTATTTCAAAAACTTAAGGATAATGGCGCTGTTAAAATACATAGATTTAGTTTGACTAATAAAAATAACTATTTAATCAAAGATATAAGATACTATATTTTACAATCATCATTATCGTCATCATTAGAGCCTATCAAAAGTTCAATACTAACTACATGCCTTCCTGTAGATTGCCTTATGTCGCCTCTACACGTTGGCCAATACAGTGGCGAAAGTAGTGGCGATATATTGGCCGAGAGTTGGTGACGGCGTCCACACGTTGGAAGGTCGTTCAGTTTACTTCGGTTCGGGCCAATGTGCGGACGAATTTATTTTATTTTAGACGTCGGCTCCGTGGCGCAGTGGCTTGGCAATGAGTGGCTGTGCCAGGGGTCGCGGGTTTGAATCCCGCACGGAACAAGTATTTGTATATCCTACAAATAATTGTTTCGGATCTGGATGTGTGTCCTTGTGCAATTTATGTTTGTAAGTAGCCTCCGCGACACAGGAGAAAATCCAAGTGTGGGGGGTAACGTTTTTATAAAATAATTATAAAAGAATAGTGAATATTAATAAGGTTGTAAATAGATATACGATATACGATTAGCTTTATTTATTCTTTACATGCATCAGAAACTGGAATAAATACCATTAATTAGAACTTAAGTTATTTTAAAGTTAAAGGAGTTATAATCGATGTCTATGTTTTAAAATTGGGTTTTGCTTTTAAAGTTTAGCAAAACATGTACTTGCTTTTCTATCAGACATTTGATGTATATATAAAAAAACACCTTATAATTTATTTGGTAATTTAATTATTTTTTGAGAAAGACAAAAACAATAGCAATAAATATAATTAACACTGACTTAATAATAGGTACTAATTATAACAAGGAAAGTGGCTCAGGACCATGCTTTGCGGCATTCTTTGGAGGAGGATGTTCAGTAGTGGACTTGTGAAGAGCTGTAATGATGATGATGATTCGAAAACTTGCACGATTAAATTATAAGAAATCGACGCTTTTTATATAGGATAGGGTGATAAATGAGCACACTGTTCACCTGATGGTAAGTGGTTGCTGTGGCCCACAGACATCTACATCTAATAAGTCTAATAAATCAAAATGCAGATACGTTGTCACCCGTGAGGACTAAGATGAAATGCCTCGTTTCCTTTAAAAAGTGTCTCTGGTTCTCTACACTCACTATACGAAACACAGCATCATTAAGCTACTATTTTACATTGATATTCTGTGAGAGCGTGGTCCTTCCCCGGTCGAACCGACCCATTCGTGCTACAACTATACTTCTAATATAACTGCATGGTTCTATCACGTATAAACGCCGTGCTTCATTTTTTTTTCATTTTAAAATTGTTCTCGTAATAATCTGATTGTTAATAAATGTTCATTATTTTTTTTTATAAATAGCTTATCGAATAAAACAATAGTTTAAAAATAATTAAATCGCGCTAATTAAAGTAGTATGAATGTTTAAAGTTGAAATTGGCACTAAAAGGCTGGTAATTGGGTCATCCACCCTACAAAGCGTGAATATAAAATTTTAATCAGATGCGTGTAATCACTCTGGGAGCTTGTAGCAAACTAAACTCGCGGCCAACGTGTGGACGCGGCGACCAAACTCTGCCAACAATTCTTTGATCTTTTGTAAAAAACCGACACCACACGGATCTCGCGCCAACTTGCGGGCCATCGTTCCAATACATACCAATGAAGCCCAAACACCCCGTCTACACGTTGGCCAATGCTATTAGCCACTACATTCGCCACTGTGTTGGCCAACGTGTAGAGGCGCCGTTATACTCATAGTTTTTAACAAAGTAGCAATTTCCATATAACAACTAAAAATAATAGAACACTGCGGTTACCAAGCCACATAGCAAGCGTGGCAACTATGCAAAATCCTCTCTATGAGGTAATGTATGGTTGGGGCTTCTGTTCAGCAATAAACTTTTATACGCTGTAATAGAATAATTTTAAGTGCTGATTTACCAGGTAATTACTTATAAATACTATATAAGGAAGACATAGAAACTTGCTCACATATAGCAAATTAAAAAATCGTTCGCCATCACGCATATCCCAATGGTAGCTCGGTGGACACTTTCTTACCCTAAAACTTCTTAGTAATGAGGGAAGGCACGCATGCACGCACGCGAGCACGAACACATATACGGATATAATCGCAAAAACAGACAAAATAGCTTCCTAGGACCTCGAAATGTCAAGATTTGATAAGAACTCGATTTTCGAAAACCGGGGTGAAAACAATAACTTCCCAATTATTTTAAATCATTGATTTTCATAGCTTGAAGTAAAAAAGTTACTTTCATATTATATTATTTTTTATTATTTATTATATTTATTACATTCAATATATTGTGTACAAGCGATTCGCTCTGGCTTCACACGGGTGGTTTCTGGATCTCGACAACAGCGCCACCTAAAGGGTCCAATTGTGCATTTTAATCATTCAGAGACCCACTCAAACGCAAGGAAACAATTTCATCAAAATCGTTCGAGCCGTTTTCAAGTATCACTGACATTAACGGACCTCAATAGATTTTTACATATACAGGTTTAAAATTCTTACGAGACAGGTATTACATGATTTATGATAGATCGTCTCGCACAAAAATCTGACTTTCCAAGAAAAAAAGCCCACGGTTGGAAGAAATACTGATAACTATTACCTGACCCTAGAAACGTTTAGATTTCTCATTTGTGAAGGTCAGTTTTATTACATACGAAGTACATTAAACAAACAGTTTTTATTACAAATTGTTTGTTCGGTAACTTAATATGACTCTAAATGAACATCTTTATTCGTAAGTTATTGAGTCAATATTTTGTTCCAAAATTATTTACAGTCAAAAAGCTCGTAAAAGAAAACGTAAGTATTTGGTTTAGTGGGCGTTATTATGAGATGGTGGATTATTGCGCCTCGTATTATATTAGGTAATATCGCCCTAGAGCTAGCATTCTTAATGAGAGTTGCTTCACAAAGTAATATTTTTGATAATCAAAATGAGATCAGGTGATTAGTACAGTTACTTACAAAATAGAAAACAACTGTCAATTGCAAATAAACCATTTTCTAAACTATGGTATGATACAATATCAACCAGTCTGTGAATATCAAACCAATCAGTTAACTTGCTTTATCTTAAAGTCATTAAATAGTATAAACTAGATTAACACTCTGAACAAATAAATTCTTTATCACATTTTGATAGTCCCACACACTCTTCGTGTTACCATCTTTTACAAATTCCACATTGACCCATATCTAACTTCTTGTTTTCAAAACATGCATAGCAGTACCACTCTTCGGTATCATCTTTTACTTCATTTATTTGCTTCTTTTTTCTTTGTTGTTTTTTCGTTATATCTTTACACCTTAAAACTTCTTCTCAGTGTTTACTTCTTTGGTGTTAGGATTATTCTTATCTAATGTATTCTTCTTCTGTTGTTTATTAGTTTTGGCATTAACCTTGCTATTTTTTTTTGTTTGTTTTTTGTTGTTTATCACTTTTGTCTGAAAATAGATCCTTAGTTATTCTTTGTCCTTTATAATTCATCGCTTTCTTACACTGTCTTTTTGTTTTAACTTGTGCATAATTGGGAGTTGGCAAAAAATTTGGAATGGTGTCTTATTACTTTGTTTATTTAAATTAATATTAATAATATTCTCCACCCGAGGCACTAAAGTTCTCATCATTTGTTTTGTACATTTCATGTTACGAAGTAATAATAATTTTCTTAGGTGTGACTTGCCCTTTAGGGATAAAATAGTCAGTATTTTCATCATCTTCGGCTGACGAGTAACTATATATGTCTTCAGCCGTGCATTTTTTAAAGAGTCAGAACTAGAGCTTGGACAAATAGGTTTATGTAATCCAGAACAACTTGGAACTCCCAAATCTATTTTGTAAGTATTCTTATTGCTTAGAAGTGGTTCGTCATTGGCACTTACCAATAAAACATCATTTTCTAGAATTAAAGAAGGTGAAACACAGTGTTCTTCCACCTGTCTTGCTGGCCTATGAGGATGTTCTACCATTTCTACGTCAGAAACATCGGGAGATGAGCTATAGTCAACGAGACGGCATTTAACTATTGAAGAGTTTTCAGTTCTTGAAGTTACGTACCAAATCGCTTTCGGTCGGTTTATTAAGAACAGGGTATTCATCTGTCTCTAATACATTAGATGTAGAGTTCTGCAGGAGCTTATCACATATCGATAGATCGTCATCAGTGTCATCGTTCAATATGACGTCAGATAAAGGACTTTGTATGGGCTCCACGCTAATTTGTGGGCATGCAATTTCAGACAAAACTGATGGGGCATATACCCATATATTCTCAGGTATAGCTTCAGGATTAAACGGGAATAATCCTGTTGCCGCAAATCCATTAACAATGTTGCTATGCGTCATGCATTTGGGCCAGACTTGACTAAATATCCTATTGTTGCGTGAATAAGTCAACGTCATACACTAGCGCCATCTAGTGTCAGGAACGAGAGCGAGGGGAGCTTTGCAGAAAATGACATCACAAATTTTTCAACCGACAGAGCCATCCGAAGAACTAAGTTTCTAGAAAATCTACACTCGAACATTCGTCGCTTTGCGCGCATTTACTTGAATATTAGGCGCTGCAAGATGCGATCGGAGTAGTATTGGATTTGGCGAGACAAGCGAAGCTTCGGAGCGGAATAAAGTGAATTAGTGTGTTTAATTATTAATGTTTTAAGTTTTAATTTGTGTAAAGTAAATTAAAGTGTTAATTTTGGTAATTTTATCGGCAATTTTTATTGTCACGAACCTCAAGCTCGTAACAATTGGTGTCAGAAGTGAGATAAAGTCATGCCGATTTTACCAAAGGAGGAATCAGAGGGTGTCCGTACCCGAAGTCAACGCCAGCAGGAGACGGACCAGAGGAGATTCGGTGGTGCAACGCCGCAGACGTCGGAAGGCCAGCCACCGGCTGCAGGCCCGTCGGTAGCTCCTACATAAGCAGCACCTGACTTAGGTGCTCTGATGGTGATGCTGCAGGAGCAGGCTCGCCGACAGGAGGAGCAGGTCCGTCGGTTGAAAGAGCAGCTGCGGGGCGGACAGGAGGAACAGGCCCGCCGACAGGAAGACCAGGTTCGTCGTTTGGAGGAGCAGCTGCGGGGCGGACAAGAGGAACAGGCCCGCCGACAGGAGGAGCAGGCCCGTCGGTCGGAAGAGCAGATGCTCCTCGTTAAGGACCTTCATGCTACCTTTGGGAAAGAGATAAAGGAGGTGAAGGATAGGGTTGCTCAACATGACAACCGCCTGTCGGAAGCTGAAACCCAAATCAAGGAAGCTAAAACCCAAATCGACCAAGTGAACAATCGGGTTGATTACGTGATGGCTGACGTTAAGAAAACGCTGGACGACCTCAAACTGGGTGATGGAACTACAGCTCCCGTAGTAGCTACTACACCTTCGCTACGTGGGTTCAAAGTGCCACCGTTAGACGGGACTTCTAAGCCTACAAAATCCAGTTCGAGGCTGTTATGAAGGCGAACGGCTGGAATAAAAGTCAGGCCATGACTGCTCTAACACTAGGCCTGCGCGACCAGGCCTTATCAGTTCTGGAAGCTCTCGGTGAGGAAGTGACTTATGAGCAACTCCTTGAGGCATTGGAGGCGAGATATGGCGACGCTCACCTGGAACACGTCTTTCGTGCGCAGCTTAAAGATCGCGTGCAGCGCATCAACGAAAACCTGCAGCAGTGGGCTCTAGAAGTGGAGAAGCTGGTGCGAAAAGCATACCGGTCTGTACCTGCGCTCATTGAAGGGAACCTGGTGCAGACATTCATCGACGGCATCCGCGACCTGGAAGTCAGAGCTGCTGTGAGGCTCGGGCACCACGAGACGCTTAAGGACGCTTTGGCCCATGCACTGGAAGTGGAAGCCGTGCGGCAGGATCATCGTTCCCATCGCGTCAGGGAGGTCGCAGCAGCTACAGTCCGTGACCGCAGCAAAGGATACGGCCCTAGGTGCTATGGCTGTGGGGAAAAGGGCCATCTTGCAGCCCATCTTGGGCCCAGTGGGACAACTTGCTGCTTCAGGATGGAGTCCTGTGCCGTAAATAGGACAATGGTCGAGGAGAAAGCTGTCGTCTGCAAATGGTTGTCCCTAAAGCTAAAGTGCCGAATGTTCTACAGCTGTGCCATAATGGTCGTTCAAGAGTCCATCTGGGAGTTAAACGAACTCTACTGAAAATCCGAGAACGGTTTTATTGGTTCCACTGTCGAAACGATGTCGAGGACTGGTGTCGCAAATGTACAAGTTATGCGGCTGTAAAGGGACCTCAGAGTAGTAGTAGAGGTGCATTGAAGTTGTACAATGTTGGTGCACCATGGGAGAGAATAGCCATTGACGTGGCGGGGCCGTTTCCGGAGAGTGAAAGCGGTAACAAGTATTTCATGGTTGTGATGGATTACTTCACAAAGTGGCCAGAAGTTTTCGCTGTTCCAAATCAAGAAGCTTCAACAGTTGCAGATAAACTAGTTCATGAAGTCTTCTGTCGTTTTGGAGTACCTTTAGAGATTCACAACGATCAAGGAAGGAATTTTGAGTCTCAAATATTCCAGGAAACTTGCCGAGTTATGGGTACTCATAAAACAAGAACGACTTCTTATCACCCGCAATCTGATGGAATGGTGGAACGATTTAATCAGACATTGGAGAGGTACCTAGTAAAAGTTGTAGACAATCTGCAACGAGATTGGGACAAGCACATACAACCGTTTTTGTTGTCATATCGAAGTTCTGTTTACGAAAGTACAGCAGTGACACCAGCTTTCGCAAACTTTGAAAGAGAATTACGGCTGCCTGCAGACCTGATCACCGGGATACCACCTGATGCTCTACGCAGTATAACCGATTATGCAAATGACTTGCGGAACAAAATGAATGACATTTATGAGCACGTCAGACAATCAGGCCAGCAAATGTCTGAGAAAATAAAAACCCGGTACGACCGCAAAATGAACAATAAAGGGTTCAACGAAGGTTCATTAGTGTGGTTGCACAATCCAGTCCGCAGCAAAGGGAAATCTCCTAAGCTTCAAGCTAAATGGGACGGCCCGTACCGGATTGTAACCAGGATCAACGATGTGACCTACCGGATACAGAAAGGCGCAAGAGGGACTCCTAAGATCGTCCATGTGGATCGCTTGGCGCGTTATTATGGGACCGATAATGCTCGGGACGAGCATGTCTTAGGAGGGGGCAGTGTTGCGTGAATAAGTCAACGTCATACACTAGCGCCATCTAGTGTCAGGAACGAGAGCGAGGGGGAGCTTTGCAGAAAATGACATCACAAATCTTTCAACCGACAGCGCCATCCAAAGAACTAAGTTTCTAGAAAATCTACACTCGAACACTTGTCGCTTTGCGCACATTTACTTGAATATTCCGGATGCTTCATTGCTAATTTGTATATATTGGCGCTGCAAGATGCGATCGGAGTAGTATTGGATTTGGCGAGACAAGCGAAGCTCGGAGCGGAATAAAGTGAATTAGTGTGTTTAATTATTAGTGTTTTAAGTTTTAATTTGTGTAAAGTAAATTATAGTGTTAATTTTGGTAATTTTATCGGCAATTTTTATTGTCACGAACCTCAAGCTCGTAACACTATTAAACGTGGCTTTTGACATTATTCTGTCGGGGTGTGTGTATAAGAAGTTCAGAACTGCTTCATCCGAGTGGTGTTCATACGACTTACTGACTGACTCGTCTAAGGGCTGAAGCTCGTGCGTTGTGTTGGAAGGGAGGCAATACAAAACTATGTCGTTTTATCAGCTTCATCTAAAACTTCTATTGACAAGTGACATTTGGCACCATAAAATATAAGTAAACATTTTCCAGCAACCTTATATTTCGCTAGGTGCTTAATAAACTCTACAAACAAATCAGCAGTCATACTGCCTTTCGGTGCCATCCTGACTAATGTTCCTGCTGGTAAGTTATCACATAGATCAGGTCTCTGTCTTTTTCCTTCAAAGAGGATCATAGGTGGTATCGCAGTACCAATGGTATTCACGCACATTGCTATTGTAACATTTTCCGCGTGTTCAGGGGCAATGAGATGAACTCTTTTGCTTCCTTTCTCTGCTAGAACTGTGTTCTGCTTGTGTACAGTTATCCGATATCCCTTTTCATCCATATTGTACAATTTTTTCTGGATGTTGTAGGATATCCATCTCATTGTACAATTTTTGCACATCTCACTGTAAAATGTTGCTGAAAAATTGATTTATTTAATTTTTGTGCTTGAGCTGGATTCATTATTTGCGGCTTTCGTTTGCTAATTGAGGGATTCCGCTTTAAAAAGTATCTCAACCAATCAGTGTCAGCAATTCTTTCGGATTTATTGAAATTATTTTTTATTTCGTATGTTTTACAAAACATATATGCTTGTTTTCTTATAAATTTTCCGTGAAGGGTACACCAATTTTAGCAAATCTTTTTATTCGTTCAACGAGGTCATTTTCTTGATGTTCTGTAAAAATTGGTTTTCTTCTCAAACGCTTAACGATGCCCATTTTTAAACGATCCCTCAATATTCTTCGCGGAATTTTATGCCTGGAAGCTGCAACACGCTGAGACAATTAGCCTCTTTGAACAGCATTCATAACTGCTTTGAAGCCTTCTTCAGCCACCCCTTTTTTCACCCCTACCTGTCAGAGCCATTACTAACCTGCGTAGGTAATAATTAATATACTAAATAATAAACTAAGTTTTATTTTCGATTTAGCTTGGTTGCGTGCAGCTTAAGTTTTTTTAGACATGATTAAGCAAACTTTTATATTGAAATAACATCATAAGTTCATTAGGCCTATAACGCCCATTTGTCAGGTTAATACCGCCCAACTGTTTTTTATTGGGCGTTGTTACCCGAAAGGGAATTGTTATTAAATCCACGTATTTTAATACAATATTACAGAAATAAACTCAAAATATTATAGCATAGTCTATAAAAGTTGGTAAACTGGTAAATATTACGAGAAATACATGCGGTAAAACAAATAAAAACTTACAATTTGCTGAAGCAATTTTTATAATAACGGCGTTCACAACTGACGTTCGACATGCGAAGCGCGTCACTGCCAAGATGGCGGCGCGAGAGCATTGTCGTCGTACTCGTGCATTCGTATGGGTATATTTTATGTTTTTGTGAGGTGTAACACAAATCATAATAAATTAATAACGTTTTTATAAGACTGTGCGTTATTAAACCACGGGCGTTAATTGCCATACCTACCTTAGTGTTTTATAAATTCCTGTATCTACCAGCATAGAATATTATAAAATCAACGGGTCCCAGCAAGGGAGTACACAACAACAAAGTTCACTGTAAAACATAGGCCTCTCCAATGATTGCTTGTCAATTGAGAATACTTGCCATAGTTACCACGCTTAGCAGGCGGGTGGGCAACAGATTTTTTTTCATTTTCTAGTTGTGATTAGAAAGATGCTGCTGCTCATCTCCCGGTGTGTTTCCTTCTGTCGCCTCTTACGACACTCACGGGACGATTTGGGGTAATGGATAATCTTACACTGCCACTACACAGTACATTTATAATATTAGTTATTGAACTAGTAGAATAAAATTTTATAAGTAAATTTTCAGCATCATGATGAATAAATTGTGTATTCGTCTGGATTCTATATCCTATTCTGGCTTGTAATCCAAGTTCGCTAGGTGGCATTTTGCAGTACCAGCCCATATATGGCAGTAATTCTCCATGCACGACCGGACTTGCGCTTTATATATAAAAATAAGCATTTGTCCCGGCGTGAAGCATCGCCGCACGTTTCACGCAAGCAACAACCAACCAAGCACCAAACCAAGCACGCAATGATTCCTAGCCTCCTTGCAGCCGCTTTGGTCTATAGGGTCTATAGACATTTACATCTTACCTCGATTAATAATCAAAAAGCGTGAGGACTAAAGTGGAATGTATCTTTTCCAGTAAAAATATTCTCCGGTTCTTTACACTCAAGATACGAAACACAGTAGCGTTACGAGTATGTTGCTATCACAATATAATAGGTCGTATTGTCAAGTCTCATGAACATGCGTTCATTAGTTTTTACATAATTGAGCCATAATACTCCAAACAACTAAACATTCAAACAAACTTTCGAACTCAATTATAGTATTATTAGGATTTGTAGGATACTAACAGAATTATTTCGAAGTGGGACATTGCGTAAAATTGTTTATAATGTTAGAAATGTAATTTGTTTCAATTCAAAAAATAAGGTGTTCTCATCATTAATGCTAACAGTTCCAGAGGGCCGCCCTAAACTTTAATTACGGCTACGAGGCTGCCACTCGAGAGTCGTCATTCCTCATAGGTCATCATTTTTCATTTATTTTGATAACAAATAGTTATATACATTTATTTTATTTAAAACTCTATATTATACACACGTGGTATATAGGCAGACTTATAGTGCAGCCAACGAAATAATGCGATCCTGACGTCTGTCAGCTAGTCATGACTACTGATGAGAAATAATTAACAATATTATTTAATTTTTAACTGATCCAATCAAAAGTCGCCTCAGTTTCATTACCCTACTTATTCGTCTGTATTCTAATTTCAGAATATAACTAAAGTAATAAAGAAAATAAAAACGCGATAATAATATTCAGCGATATTAACTAAGAAATATTACTATATCTTGAAATAGAGTTGCGACTGATAAATAAATTGAATTCAATTCCTATTCGCTTGAGGAGTTGTCTTTGTCATCACTTTTGCCTACATGTATAATTATATTATTATCAATGATGGTAAGTAAGATATCCCACCAGTCAACGCCAGCAAGGAACACAACGAGGTTACAGCAGAGGTGGAGTTCATCGAGGTCGTGACCGAGGCAGAGTTCAAGGTCATCCCAGAGGTGAGTCATTCAGCACTCAGCGTGATGAATCTGCGGCAGAGTAATGGACTACTCAGGTATGTAGTTCGGAGGTAAATCAAGTAACAGGATGTAGTGTTGTGGAATATGATAATAACAGTGAAATTCATTGGTTGTTAGATAGTGGGTGTTCAGATTATTATATGAATTATGATACATGCTTCTATAATTATGTAGATTTGAAAATTCCCATTTATGTGAAACTGCCAGATGATAAAGTGTTAAAAGCAACCAAAATAAAAGTAGGTACTGTTAAAATCTATTCCAAAAATTATTATAATGAAAATTACATCGATCTAAAAAATCTATATTTTGTTAAGCGATTCAAAAATAACGAAAAAGTACACAATAGTAGTAAGCAATGAAAATGTAAAAAATTATAATCAATCAAGAGAATTAATTAATAGTTGTTGCTAACAAAATAGATAATTTGTTTTGTATAAAAAGTTTTGTTTCAAAACTAATACGCATAATGATAAAATTTACGTAAATTCAGTAAAATTAATCATTTATAAATTACTCATCAACCTCGAATTCTTAACTTCCTCTTCTTATTTTGAGTATTCACAGTAGATGATGTTATATTTAGTTCATTTTTACCCTGAGTTTTTTTTTTCTGCATTCGTTTCTGCTCTATCAATTTTTCCGCTTTTTTTTCTTTATCGTATTCCGTTAGCTCAAATATCTTTTTAGTTTTATTTTTTACTGGTGCTGCATGTTTTTTCTTGACTTCTTCGTATTTTTGTTGATATGCTTTCAACTTCTCCCTATATGTTTTCATGCGTTTCGCAGGAGTGAGCGCCATTTTGACACCTAATAAACCAATATAAATGATTAAACCCTACTGATATAATAAATACGAAAGTATGAATATTTGTTTGTTACTCAATCACGCTGAAACGGTTAAAAGGCAAAGACGCAATTTGCTGCTTGATTAAAATAAAATTCAAATTACTGTCTAGCAAACGCCTGCTGGTTGAAAGTACGTACATAATACAAAAATTACATTACGGGTAGCGTTATAAGTATTACTTAGTCTTTCAATACATAAACACTCATGTCACCCAGAGGGATAGGTGGGGACTACGGACTTCCATTTGGCATGATCCTGACATACCTCTCTCGCCTCCTTTACATCCATATATCTACGCATACACGCTCGTCGGTTAAGCATAGCAACTTCGCGTGTATAGAAACAATTTGGCCTCGACTGGTGCGTAGGCTGTATAAAAAGATACAGAACAAAATTACGTTCAAATATAATTAATATGAAATTATTTTACTAGTTATTTAATAAAAACCCATAATGAAAACGAGAGTTTACGTTCCACTGAGTTACGACTACCTATCCACTGAGTGAATGTTTCTCAGTTGACGTAACAGATTTTAAGTTTGATTATTTTTTTATAAAATTTTCTTCAAAAGACACGTTTAATTTAGTCAATATTAAATTATACGTGTAATAAATTTATTTTTACGTGGTAGAGTCATGCTGCAGCTATATCAATTGTATAGTTGTAGCACGAATGGGTCGGCTCGACCGGGAAAGGACCACGCTCTCACTTAATAGCAGCGTCAAATAGTAGCTTAATGCTGCTGTGTTTCCTATGGTGAGTGTAGAGAACCGGAGACTCTTTTTACTGGAAAAGAGGCATTCAATTTTAGTCCTCAAGGTTGACAATGCATCTTCATTTTGTTTCGCAGACGAGGATAGATGTAGACGTTTATGGGCCACAGAAATCACTTACCATCAGGTGGACTGTGTGCTCGCTTGTCAGCCTTTTCCTACAAAAAAAAACTTTTTAAACCGGTAAAACAAGCCTACTTACTATGAAATCTTCGTAAATCAGCTGCATTTTAAACCGCACTAACCGGTACTGTACCAAGTCCTAACTTTCCGTATATACACTCTTATCTACGGTCCTAACGATGTTATATTCGAACTGTGCAATTCCAAATGGCTGACTTGTTGTGAACTAACCATAGTAGAGTTGCTAGTTTATGAAAATAACACTATTGTAGTAGCTTTCGATACTCTCCTGGAAATATTTGCGTGACTCAGCTGAATTTTCCACCATGCTCAATTTTTATACTATTCACTAAACTATTTATTTTATTATATTTTAAAATATTGATTAAAAATACGTTAGTTGATACAGAAAGTGAGCTTTGCGTTTTTTTGTATGACACTATAACTGAAGAAATATCGTGCTTATACATGAAACAGCGATG